CATGTATGATTAGTATCATACACTAAGATGTGTCTATCATGTGGGGATGGGGATAATTAGGGGACTTGCTAACACACCTCTAACCATGAATGAATCTCGATTGACAAGAGTTTACATTCTGATGTCAGAGATAGTACTATGAAACTTATAGAATTTGATTTAATGACTTTGTTGAAGAACAAGACCTTTAAATCTAAATTATTGAAGAACTCAAAAAATGACAAGAATCTACCTAAAGGAAAGTTTTGGAACGGATTACCTTGATGATCAAGATCAAGAGTAAAGCAAACTCGTTTCTAAACTTGTAATTCAAATATCTCTACAAGAGGTTTGTTCAATACCACTCGAATAACTATAGCATGCAAGTTATAAATACAAGAATTTGTAAAGTAAAAAACTTACCTCTCAACCAAACTAAAATAGAAACTCTATTCAAAGAGAAAGAAGGCTTTATATAGTTTGGGAGGATTACAATATAACTTTAACTATCATATTAAAAACTAACCTAAATAAAAATTAAAATAATACAATAAAAAAAATGTGTTATAAAAAAAATGTGTTATATCTAGTAACCATCTTTATAATAAGATCTATAAATTCAACTCTGAGTTTATTAAATGTAAATTAAAATACTTTTAATGCATCTCTATTTTACAACTCAACCTTATACAACAGTTAAGAAAGGATTCCAACATCTAGAATTTCCTTTTAACGAGTCCATCATAGCTTGAATACAAGTGATTAAAGTTCAGGTAACTTCTTGACTTTTTTTCCTTGTAATTCAACCTTGAAGTATGAAAATTTCTCTATCTTGATTTATATCAGATGGAGTTAGTTCTTATAATTGACTAAACGATGCATGGACTATTAGGAGTAGCCAGCTAACCGATAGAAATCTATAAGGATGAGCAAGAGTTGGTATCAATAGGATGGTGCCCTGAATATAAAATGATCCATAGACTAGAAGATTTGTCCTACCTTACCCATTTATCATGTTGATCTTCGGCCTTAAACACATCCATCGGTTCTTTAGGGCATGTTGTCTACTCACTCAACTTAATGAAACAGCCCACGTTGAATTCTCGAGATCCATGTTCTCAATCAGAGTCTCCTACTTTTCCCCTCACTTCGTAGCAGCATTAGGCTTCAAACCTTCCTTCTTTATCTGTTACATCAATTCAGATACACAGATTTGCACTCGGAGGATTCCACTCAAGAAATTCTGCCATTATTTGACCAACGGCTTAACTTGTTTTTCAATGCTCTTCACTCTAGTTTACAATAACCCACCTCGCGCAGTCCTTGCTTTTCGGAATTCTTGTAAGTATATAGCTCATTTCTTGACCAAGTTAAAATCTTTTTCCGTTTGATTTCAAGAAGATAATCCAATCTCGATCAAGAACAAAATCTTGATTCTTTCTTGAACACTTTTGTTGTAAGTTGTCACGAAAATGTATTGTCATAACTCTCATTAAGTTCATAACTCTGATCGTTCATATTATCATTTTGATACATGAATCATCTCAGACTATATAAAGGGATGTCTAGGATGGTTGAGAGTATTGAATTTAATTGAGTCTAATTGTCATTTTATACTTATGAGTGAAAATTGAGAGAAATTTTGTAATAAGAGAGGGTGAGATAAACATTTTATAAACACTTTGATTATGAAATCTTGATCAAGAAAAAAATCTTGATTCTTTCTTGAACACTTTTGTTGTAAGTTGTCATAAAGTTGTATTGTCGTAACTCTCATTAAGTTCATAACTCTGATCATTCATGTTATCATTTTGATACATGAATCATCTCAGACTATATAAAGGGTTGTCTAGGATGGTTGAGAGTATTGAATTTGATTGATTTTGAGTATCATTTTGTATTTGTTGAGTGAAAATTAAGAGAAATTTTATAATAAGAGAGGGTGAGATATACATTTTGTAAACACTTTGATTACGAAATCTCGATCAAGAACAAAATCTTGATTCTTTCTTGAACACTTTTGTTGTAAGTTGTCACGAATATGTATTGTCATAACTCTCATTAAATTCATAACCCTAGCCGTTCATATCATCATTTTGATACATGAATCGTCTCAGACTATATAAAGGGTTGTCTAGGAAGGTTGAGAGTATTGAATTTAATTGAGTCTTAATGTCATTTTGTATTTGTTGAGTGACATCTAAGAGAAACTTTGTCGAGAGACTTTGTAGTAAAAGAGTGTGAGATACATTTTGTGAACACTTTGATTATTGAGACGGGTTGCTACCCATGGATGATCTTTGTTTAATTTTGTAAACACTTTCGGATAAATCTTTGTGTCTCTTTGTTTAATTTCTGTTTGTGAGTGTGTGAGTGCGATCGATCTTGCTTCCGCTTTTGGTACAACAGCTTTAATCTCATTTTGATCTCAACATATTGAATCCAGTTATTACTACTGATGATCAATCGACATTCATTTGTGAAATGATGTCGTCGGATCCAGATGATCATGAGGATGACGTAAATTGCAATATTGACTTTGCAACCTTTGTCTCAATTGATTCGAAAGATTTCCAACATGTTGTAGAAGAGTTTAGAAACATTATAACAGGTGATAAATAGTTCATGTCTTGATTCTTTTCTTATATTACTTAAAAGAAAAATGTTGATGTTCTTCAAAACCTATTGTCTTTTCTTATAGTTTATGTTTTCGTGACGAACTTACAAGTGAGGTTCACATGTGCATTGAAAGAGATTATTCTTAGCCAAGTGGTAATTAATTCAAACCATTCATTGTTCATATGCATGGAAGAAAGGTGTATGAATAAATTCATGGTGTTTTGTAGGAAGAACAATGCATTATTGGAGGTATTGAAGATGGACAAGAAATTCAATTCGTAATCACTCTCCATCCCTCGAGATTTTTTAATGAATTGTCATCTCAAGTGGGAAGGGTATGGTTGTACCGGACAAAAGATGCTCGAGGTGCAATCTTTGCACCTATTGACTCCAATGCTCAATTTGAGGTCTATTTTCCCATAATATGACATGGGAAATCCATGCTCGAGTTTTGAGTTGTAACAATTTGTCTTTCGAGAGACTTGAGCAACGGACCACAACTATGATCGTGAAGATATTTGTACACAAAACAAATCACCGAACATATGCATGTATAAAAATGTCATGAGTCAAAACCACGGTTCAGATCTATCTCGATTTCTGTAATTTCATAGTTTGTATATGAACTCACCTCGAGTTGACAACTCAGGTTTGATTTGTGTAAATAAAAGTAGCATAAATGAATATGCAAATATATAATAATTAGCTTACTGGTAGACTGATCATTTATTTTACATCGTTATTACGTCTTATTCTAGACCTAAATATCACATATCAAAGTTATAAGCGTTTTGAGGCTAGATACTCGTCATCTAACCTTATTAACTCTTTTCATTTCATTAGTTCCCATCATTCGACCTGTGGGAGCCCATCTATCTAATGAGGGTTACCTTGAGGTTCTAGGTTAATAGCTTTTTACTCTTCCCTTCAATTGCTCTTCTTAATCTAGCTCGTTGGAGCTCATCATTTTCTTTGATTCTTCATCGCTCATCTAGTTTCTTGGTGCTTATAGTCTATCATAATCTAACCCATAGGATTCATCTGTCTACTTGTCATGTGATATCAATGTGGATACTCTCTTCATGGTTTACTATTAAGGAAAAACTATCAAATCTCTAACATCTCCACATCATATCGTTCATACCATAATCACTAGAATATTATGAAGACTCGTCTAGACGGTCAATGATTAAGAATAAGCTAGCAAACCCTTAATTGTTTTATACGTAGTAGCATAATTGAATCATCTCAACTCATAGGATTGTAACTAGCCTAACTAAATAATTTAGCTCGTTCTCTAATTGTCTAAATACGTGCATACATACATTATTGATCAAGCTCTCAAGACTTAAATCTCATTCAAATACAATCTAATTAGTTCTCGTTAATCTATATTTGTTCATAGTACTTCATTGTAATCGTATCCGTAATCCTAAACGTAACCAAATCCCCATAATCCTTGTAACAATGATAACAACAACACTGATCTTGGATGTTCTTCATTAATCTCTTCGATTTCTTCCACCAATCGAAGGCTACTTTCAAAATGATTTCTATGAGACCAATTTCATGCAAAATTATCAAGTTGATTGGGAGAATTTGGTGTCATTTTGTATTTATCTAGTGACATCTGGAAGAAAGAGAGTCAGTAGTGTGAGTGTGTGAGATATATGAGGCTGAGGTCCAACTACGAGGTTGAGGTTCAAACTTAGGTTCAACTACGAGGCTAAGGTCGAGTCTAGGTTGGAAGCTAGTTTCCTAACCTAATTTGGTGCTTCTATTTGTAGCCAAGTCGTCATGAGAATTGTTATGAAATTGGGACAAATTGCTATAAAAAGAGAAGTTTAGAGAATGGATTTTTAGTGACTGTCCCTTCCAACAACAATTCTTCCTTCACCAATGACCAACTGGAACTAAGAGTGATACTCATTCTCATACTTAATCTCTCATACATGAATTAAAGCAATATTAATGCTCGTACATGAATGAAAATGATTTATGTACCAAAAGGGTTATGAACTAATAAATGAAAGTTATGAACGGTTATAAATTAAATAAATAAGAATATAAACTAAGAGAGTTATGAACAAAAATGAATGACAATAGGATGTGCATGAACCTATCCTTCATCGCAACTTACCAAAAAAAAAAAAAAAACTATTAAATGAAATAAAATTCGTTACTACCCATTTGATTTCTTATATAATTCATGCATATAAAGAAAGAACAAAAGTGAGGGACATTAATATAAAACCATCATCAAATTCAAACAATTTAGGCCCTCCATTGAAACGCTATCATCCCACGAACCATGTTAATGTTCAAGCTTGACCCCTTGGCTCCTTTTTTGGACACAATCCCAATACTCTGTCACATTGGTCAAAAAGCCAACATCAAAAGCACATCGTCCATGTTAACCCTAATGGCCTCACCCCCTTCCAATCGCTTCATTGCATCGCTCCAAATCTTGCCTGAATTCTTCACCTACTTTAACTCCGATGAGCCTCACCATTCAACAATTCCCCTCGAGCTGTTCTACATTATTATGCTCCGTATGGAAATCCGTGGCTTTACTTCAATGTACTTCACTCTTTTTCAACCATTAACCAAAGTCTTGCTCACATTTCAACGCTCAAGTTCGTACATATTTTCTTCTCTTCAACAAGAATCAAGAATCTTGTGTTTCTTTTGGTTTCAAGAACATATTATTTTTGGTGTTAGGTCATGAGCCCAAAGTGATGTTGTGTGAATTGGATTCGTTACCTTTGGAATTGGAGGAAATGGAGCACATTGATTATGGAACTTTTGTGTCAATTGATTCACAAGACTTTAGACGTATTGTTCTTGAGTTAGATGTTCATTCCGGTGATATACTCTTCCTTGAAATCTTTTACATTAACTTCTTGAAAGAACATGTTTCCTTAAACTTTGTTGTCGTTTCTAATAGTTCATGTTTCCTTAACGAATTCACAAGTCAAGTTCAGTGCTTCAAGAAAGGAGATTGTTCTTACCAAAGAGGTATGATGTCTTTGTTGTTAGTTGCCATGAGTATATACGGTAATCTCTTTTGGTTCATATTTTCATGTATTTGGTTCATGGATAAGAATTAGTATTTCTATGCCGGTATAAATGTATGTCTAGCATTGTTTTGATGTGTGAAGTCATTGTCATTTTGTATTTTCTTCGAAGCAATTGAAAATAATTTTAGAAAAGAGATTTTGTAGCGTGAGAGTGTGAGAGACTTGGCTTCCACTCGTGGATGTAGGGGAATTTCTTCACTCTGAACCAAATCTTTGTGTCTCTTTGTTTAATTTTTGTTTGTGGGTATGAGTGCGATCGATATTGCTTCTGCTTCCACTTCCGCAACAACAATTGAGTATCATAACATTTTGGTTATGACATTAGGATACAACAAGTGATATAAGAGTGGTGTTAGGGCATAATGGTCTTTTGATGTTTACTGAGGTTTATTGATTGAATTTGGTTGATGTTGTGTAGGAAAGACGGTGCATAATTGGAGGTCTTGCAGAAGGAAAGGAATTTGAATTTTCGATCACTCTCCATCCGTTGGTGTTCTTTCATGAATTGAGCTATAAAGCAAAACGGGCATGGTTGTTCATGTCAATTAATTTCTCCACTATCATTGTTTTTCCCCTTGGAACTTCTACTCAGTGTTGGGTTTATTTCTCTCAATGACATCGAAAAATATTGTTTGCTAAGAGACTTCTTTTCTTTTTTCAACGTAAATATATCTGAAACTGAGAATTATGAGAAAATATGGTATTTAGAGTGAGCAAGTATTAAGAATGTTATATTAGAAGTGATTTTGAAATCACTAGATCTTTGTACCCATGGTGATCCATACGCTATAGTAACCTGATTGTCACAACGTGATTTTTGAGGTCTCGAAAATCAGACTGCGATGGAAAAATGAAAACGAAAATAAGTAAAAATAAAAGTAAAATAAAATGAAATGTGAAAATGCGATAAAATTTAAAACTTAAAAACAAGTAACACTACAATTAAAACACAAAACGAAATCAAGTTACAAGACCCGTTGTTCAAAATTTAAATGCGAAAAGGGTTTGAGATAAAATTCTAGTAGAAAATAGAAAAGATTCAAATACAAAAATACAAGAGATGAACTGCTGCTCTGGAATGACCCCCACTATGACTCTATATCTCTTGAACGCTCTCCAATCTCAAGTAGCAGTCAGCGAACATTCATTCGAAAAAGAAAGAAAAAATTGGGTGAGTATAAAAATACTCAGTAAGCAACTTACTTGTAGGCTCTGATTGCATCCGTATCCTAGTAAGTATCCACGAGGTTTACTTTGGACTCTAGGGAGTTTGGCCCTAGGTTCCACTCCTAGCTGAGCAACTAGGTATCCTAATGTTTCGAGTAGGTCTCTAAACTAAAGCGTACAACTAAAGATTTGTGCTAGTTTCCGATTTTTCTTTTCTACGACTTAGGTGGTTTGCCTTACTTATGTAGTGAATGTTCAGTGTCCTGGGTTGAGGTGTGACCTCATAATCTGTGATGCATTATGGTTGGATCAGAATTTGAATCTGAACAGCAATTTAAACATCACTCATGGAGGTTAGCTGATAGACCCTCACACGAGACCATAAAGTCGCCAAGGTTTGGGGGAAGCAATCCCTCCCTATATTCCAAGACGTTTGAGGTTAGCTCCTATTCACACTACTATAGGCTGATGAACTATCTTTGTCATTCTTGATTGTTGTGGAGGCCTATGAGGTTCTTAGGGGCTTCTAGGCATCCCTACCCGATAGCTATATGTCGTAAGCCGTTATTGTTGTCTTTTGTTTGCATCACATATAACACCAATTTCAATCTCTCAAATCTTGATTTCAAAACTCTCTTTCGAAATCTCTCTGCCCCCGTTTTCTAAAACTTTCTTCTTGAATTGGGGCTAGAGGCTCAAGCATACGTCGCTTGGCCGTAGGCGACATAATAATGAATTGACTTAACTCACTTCTTGCTGGGAAGTGAGTGTCAAACAATCGCAAGTCCGCTGTCATCAAAAGTGCGATTGTGACAAGGTTTAAATCTCATCTGTCATTTCCAAGACGTTTGGGGTTAGCTCCTTGGGGCTAATACAAATCTCTGGATGCACTGAGGTCTAAACCTTTGATAACCGCTCACAATCTTGGGGTGCAGGGTCTACTGGAAACGTTTTAACCAAGGTCAATGTGTAAGCCGCACTAATTGTAGCACCCAAATCTAATCTTAGTACTTTCATGCATACTTTATTAGGGAGATACACCTATCCATCACCTAAGTGCGTAATCCATAATTTAAACCTTGTTTTGGTCATATGGTGTTGAGAAAGTCTATTGGATTCCTAAGGTGGCTTGGTGGTTTAACGCGAACTTTTCACTGCAGGTTGCTTTGCTTCAACTTTTCTAGTCTTTCTTAGTCTAGGAGCATTAGAGTCTAGATCCTCTCACTGTCACTCACGATCCTAAGGTACTCAGTCTACTAGAGGCGTCTTGTGTTAGGTCATCGTCTAGCCAACTTAACTCTAACTCCCTAGCTTTTTGCAGATAAACACCCTCTACATGGAGAACACAACACTTAGAGCTAACACATACTATATCATGCACACATACAACTAAAAAAGCTCAACAGGGAGATAACAAAAATCAATTACCAAGAGAACAAATCGCAATAGCAAATCCTCAGTTATGGCATAGTGGAAAGCATATAAAAAAACATTTATCACAAATTTCATCGTAGAGTCATTTTGGTAATTTCTGTTGGGTTTAATGTCCTAAAACTCATAGTTTGTAAACAAAAACATATTTTATTTTCAATAAAGTTATTATTATTGTTTATTCAGTAAAAATTGTTATTGAATAAAGTGAACTTTACAATCATTAATCTAAACAGTGTGATCACTAAAATTGTACATGTGAAGACATGTGAGTGGGGGCGTCCTATGCAATGAGTATTGCATAAGATCGAACCATTAAGAAAATCACTCTCACTTTATAATGTCGTTTACTATTAAGACCTATTTTCTTTTCATTCGATGACCTAGGTAACTCGATCTTAATCCTGAGCTAACCATGAACTCCTGTTTATTCGAAATTATCCTTAGATTTGCATGGGTGAGAGTGGCTCAAGTTCGCCGACTCCATAAGCCTCCCATTTCGGGGGTAAGACTGGGTAAATGGCTGGGGACGTGGGGTGCAAGATGGATTCAGTCCTACCCACTCTTAGGGATAGAAGAAAGGTAGTTCCCTTAAGTACTGACTTCAGGTCTTGAACAAGGGGCCCCACCCTCTCATTGGCCTGAGAGGGATCTAGTTTACTGATTGGACCACAAACCAATTGTTCATTAGAGGAAGAGTGAGACACAAGAAACAAGAAGTAACTTCAGGGGTAAAACGGTAAATTGACCCAACTCTAGTTACGAACAACCTGTGAAGGATCGACTTACCAATCATGGTTATATCAAATGGACAGAAATATATCTATAGTGAGGGGAGTGCAACTACTAGGCTATAGTGGAATGTCCTAGTAGTTAACGAATGTTGGTTAATGAGTTTAACCGGTTAATCTTGGATCGTTGGAGCCCATGATCTATAGGTCCATTAGGTCCCTCTGCTAGCTCATATCAGACTAAACCATAGAACAGTGTGACGAGTGAGTTCAAAGTGTTCGAATTCAAATTAGGGAGAATGCACTACATATATACAATATATTTAACCGCATTTTTGTTTTATTTACGAATTAAACAAAAAGAGGGAATATGAGATATTTAAATAATCTTAATCAAATATGTGTCGGAATTAATTGGGATTGGCATTTGAATTAATATTAAATATTAATTAAATAGTTTAATTAATCATTTAATATTACTTTAATTTGAAATTAATAATTCAAATTGATTGTTGAATCAAAATGAAGAAAGTCAAAATGTTAACCTCATTTAATGGAAAAATCCATGTTAGTGAAATGTTGAGGTGTCAAAATTTAGTTAACTCAAGCATGCATGCTTGCCACATAATCCCAAACATTTGAGTGGAATTTTGAGTGTCAAAATTTGGTGATCTCAAATTTGCATGAACATGCAAACATGACTCTATAAATAGAGTGATCATAATACATAAAAGGGCTTCTTCTTGGTGAAAAACCTTGAGAAAAACCTCTCACAAACACTCTCTTCATATATACAAAATCCCTCCCAAGTTTAAGTCACTCACCGGATTCCACAATCCCGAATCTAAGGCCGGAGGATAGTGGAGAAGACACTAGTAGTGGTTCGAAACCGGTTCGTGAGGAAAAAGGAATTTGAATTACAAAAGATTAGTTTTAATACTTATGAACATGCTAGTTATTTACTATAATTGATGTTCTAAAAGTTTCTAAGATCCAAATTGCTTCCGCATGTGTTATATTAACACCTTCAAATTCAATTTCATACATCATGCATAACATACTCAATCATATTGCCCAACTCGTATTCTAGTCATGTATATTCTCTTTCTAGTTTCACATAGTACATAAAATAACAGGCTACTCAGAAATCTCAACCTAGGGGCATAACAATAATTTACCATAATATACCTATAGTACAAACTCATCCAAAAACGGCCTTCAGAAGTCCTTAGCATGCATTTTCTAACCACCTAGAGTAAGGAATGATCGCTCGCTAGCACGTCCTAGCGATCCCTACAAATATTACTTGCCTAAGGTCCGTGTGATTACTTACTTGGATGACGCGTGTCTTCTCAAACTAGTTTTTCCGCTTGTATTTTTGTAATCACCTATATTACACAAAAATAGCATCAATATTCAAATAGAGGCGAAAACCATCGAACGGAGGCCAAACAATGCAAAGATGTACTCACACGTGTCAATTGCACAATCGCACTCTCGTGGCAGCAAGACAACAATTGTGTAGTACTTGTTCAAAACCAGTGAACAAGATAGTCATGTGAAATTCGCACTTCACAGACAATATTAGCATATACTCAAGTTTCGAGTCACGTTTGAAAGAATGTTTTAGAAAACGTGAGCAAGAAAATACATTGAATTTTTTTTTTAAAGAAAGCAATGTCATATAAGCTAAAAGCAAGTAGGCAACAATAATGACATTGATAGCATATGACCTAGGTAAGAAGAATTGAAAATAAGTCACATTTTCCTATATTACCATTTGGGCCATTTAGCCCTAGCGGGTGTAGACATGCTTTTGGTGACCAGTCATACACCCCATATTGACACAAAAATAATAGTAAAGGTCTTTCTAACATGAAAACAAGTAAAAAAGGAGTTTAGAACAAGCATGTCATCGTGGACAACACGTCCTAGACGTCCGACACGCGGCCACAAACAACAAGCCTTGGACAACGCGATTCCTTCACTCAAAACTCAGATCAACACGATTTCTTCACTAAAATTATAAAACTCTAATCCACCTTTACAAACATATTCTTCTCATAATTTATTTCCAATCACACCAAGAAATAAAGAAGTCCAAATTCGATCCAAAACTATTAAACTTACAATCATACATATTCTTGACGTTCTCCGAAACACTATTTTCCCGTTAGAATCAACTTCGACTTCCTTCACAAACTCATGTGAAAACCCTCCAACATGAATTTTTAACTCGAAGAAAAACTTCAAAATTCAAGGAAAAACAAAATCAAGAACTCAAAAACCTCACCTTCAGTTCTTCCTTGATTCTTTAGGAGATTCTCCCAAACTCATTAAACTCTATCTCAATTCCAACATTTTTCTAATATTGTATAAAAAGAAAGAACCAAGTACGAGGGAGATCAATATAAAACGAAGAGCAAATTCAATTAGGCCATTCATTGAAACGCCATCATCCCATCAACCATGTTAATGTTCAGGATTGAACCCTACGCTCCTTTTTTGGACACAATCCCAGTACTCTCTCACCTTGGTCAAAAAGCCAAGATCAAAAGCTCAGAGTCCATGTTTACATTAATGGTATCAGACCCTACCCATCACTTCACGGCGGCGCTGCAAATCTTGCCTGAATACTTCGAATACTTTAACTCCAATCAAACACACCATTCCAGATTTTCCATTGAGAAATTTTACATAACAATGTTCCATATGGAACTCCGTGGTTATTCTTCCATGCTCTTCATTCTTATACAAGCCATAAACAAAATTTCACTTGCATTTGAGAATCCACAATCTCGTACATTCCCTTTCCTTCTAATTTTATTTGCAAAATGAATCTTGATTCAAATTCAAGAATCAAGAATCAAGAATCTTGTGTTTTTTTTTTTTTTTTTCAAGTGTTTGATTCTTTTTTTGTGTTAGATCTTGAGCCGAAAGTGTTATTGCGTGAATTGGATGCGTCACCTTCCGAAGGGGAACAAATAGCTCAAGTTGATTATGGAACTTTTGTGTCAATTGATTCACAAGACTTTAAACGTGTTGTTCATGAGTTAAATGCTCCTTCTGGTGACATTATTTCACTACTCTTCCTTGAAATGTTGTGCTTTTTATTTGAAAAGAACATGTTTCCTTAAACTTTGTTGTCGTTTGTTATAGTTAATGTTTCTCTAACGGCTTCACAAATCAAGTTCATGGTTCCAAGAAAGGAGATTGTTCTTACTAGACGGGTATGTATGATGTCTTTTGATGTTTACGAGGTTTATTGTAACGGCCCAAACCCATTTTTAATAGATATTGTCTTTTTTGAGATTTTCCTTTTGAGTTTCCCATCAAAGCCGGGGAAAGGTTAACAAACCCTTATAAAGGGTGTTTCGTTCTCTACCCCAACTGATGTGGGATTTACAATTCATCCCCTTCAGGGCCCAGCGTTCTTGCTGGCACTCGTTCCTTTCTCTAATCGATGTAGGACACCACTAAATCCACCCTTTTTTGGGGCCTAGCGTTCTTGCTAGCACACCGCCTCATGTCTGCCCCTCTGGGGAACAGCCTCCTTGCTGACACATCGCTTAGTGTTTGGCTCTGATACCATTTGTAACGGCCAAAGCCCACCGCTAGTGGAATTGTCCTTTTTGGGCTTTCCCTGAAGGCTTTAAAACGAGTCTGCTAGGAAGAGGTTTCCACACCCTTTGTTTCTCCACCCCAACCGATGTGGAATTTCACAATCCACCCTCTTTCAGGGCCTAACATTCTCGCTAGCACACCGTCTCGTGTCTACCCCCTTCAGGGAACAGCCTCCTTGCTGGCACGTCGCCCCGTGTCTGGCTCTAATACCATTTGTAACAGCCTAAATCCACCGCTAGTGGATATTGTCTTTTTTGGGCTTTCCTAGAACGCGTTTGCTAGGGAGAGGTTTCCACACTCTTTATTTCTCCACACCAACCGATGTGGAATTTCGTAATTCACTCTCCTTCAGGGCCCAGCATCCTCGCTGGCACACCGTCTCGTGTCTACCCCCTTCAGGAAACAGCCTCCTCGCTGGCACATCGCCCAGTTTCTGGCTCTGGTACCATTTGTAACAGCCCAAGCCTACCACTAGCAAATATTTTCCTCTTTCTGGCTTACCTCAAGACTTAAAACGCGTCTATTAGGGAGAGATTTTCACATTCTTATAAGAATGTTTCGTTCTCCACCCCAACGGAGGTGGGACTTCATATTTATTGATTCTTGTCTGAATGTTTCAGAATTTGGTTGATGTTATGCAGGAAAGAGGGTGCATAACGGGAGGTATTCCAGCAGGAGAGACATTTAGATTTTCGATCACCCTCCATCCATTGCTGTTCTTTCATGATTTGAGCCATAAATCAAAACGGGCATGGTTGTTCATGTCAGTTGATTACTGCACTGTCATTATTTTTCCCTTTGGAATTTTTACACAGTTTTGGGTCTATTTCCCTCGGTGACATGGAAAAATCTTGTTTGCAAAGAGATTTTTTTTTTTTTTTCCCCTCTCAACGTATAATTTTATGAAACGAGGTGTGGAATAATCTCAAACGAACTCAAATCTCTATTTTTTCCGTTGAGTTCTGAATATCTTGTATGACACATTCATGTATCAAATATTAAATAATGAATCTATTTAATACATGTACTAATCGTTATAGTGATTCACGAACAATTTTATGTATAATCTAATGAATCCAACTCGGCCTCCAAAACCATTTTCATCTTTGATAAATGCCTTGGTCCGTAACGCATCCTCCAGTGACTAATTCTTCTTCTTCTTGCTTTGTTCGTGTGCTTCTAGCGATCCAACAAAATTCAAAAGTTAGATCTTCTAGATCCTTTGACTCCTCAATGGCACACACGAAATTCTCGAACTTGTCAATTAGTGACTGTAAAACTATGTGATTTTGCCTTCGAGAAGTTATTAAAAACGATAACTAGATTAAGTAGAGGGAAACATTACAACCATACTATAAAGAGAGTAGATTGTGATGGTTGTGGCTCCCACAAGTGCAAACATATAGAAAGTAACACAAGAATAGCATTCATCGAGATATGTGAGGGTCGAGAAAGAAAAGTAACGTGATGTACATAAATTATATTATGAAAAACGTATTCATGGGGTCTTGTATAACACATATATTCATTCAAAGTTATGATTGATCCCACACTAGCTCACATATATCACATAAATCTAATATAAACATTCTAACTCAATAACAAGTAATTTTAATCCATGTGATATGTGTCATTCTTAAGTCAAAAAATTCATCCGATCTTGCCCTTCTGCCTTTCGATAGTAAATCTACTTACCTCGACAAACTTAATTCGATATTTCTCTAATTACCTAACTCTTGATTTTTATGCTAGTCACAACTTTCATACCGTCCTTCAGACTTATTTTGTACCTAAATACCTTGTGTCGAAGTCATACCCTTTTTGAGGCTAGCATCTGTCGTACCCTTTTTGAGGCTAGCATCTAGGTTCTACAAGCTTAATCAAGTTATCTTAGGGTTCTAGTTCTACTAGCTCTATTAGGGCTATTTCATTTCATTGGTTCACATCATTCAAACTCTTTGGAGTTCATCTATCTCATTAGAATTATTCGTAATTTTAGGATAATTAAGTTAGCTCTTTAATAGTCCTTGCAGTCGTATTTCAATCCATATATCATAAATACTCGAGGTAGGTCATCATCATAGTCCCATCTTACACTAGAAATTTGTAGAGGACTCTCCATAATATGCCCTATAATGTCGTCATCATAAACAATGAAGCGACTCTCTTGCCTTGCAACTACCATATATCCATGTGGCTTGCTATTATTCAAACAAGTTCAAAACTAATGAACGGTTAATCTTTCCCACACATAGTATTCTTATGGCAATATAAAGCTCATACATCTCAAGGCTCATCCATACTAACTCAACCATGTTAATGTTTAGGCTTGACCCCTTCGTTCCTCTTTTGGACGCAATCCGATTACTCTCTTACGTTGCTCCGAAAGCCAACATCAAAAGCACAGCATCCACGTTAACACTATCGGTCGCACCCCCTACCCAACACTTCATTGCGGGGCTGCAAATGTTGCCTGAATTCTTCAACTTCTTTTACTCCGATGATATTCACCATTCAAGAATTCCCCTCGACTTATTGTGCATTATTATGGACCGTATGGAACTCCGTGGTTTTTCTTCAATGTACTTTGCTCTTTTTCAATCATTAAGCAACGTCCTACTCACATTTCAAGAAGGTTCAAGTTCTTACATATTTTCTATCTTGTTCTAACTCAAGAATCATGAATCTTGTTTTTCTTTTAGTTTCAAGTGTGGTTCTAACTCAAGAATCAAGAATCTTATTTCTATGTTAGATGATTGAGTGTGCTCTTATTTATATCTTTTTGTTATAGATGTAAAGCTATATATGATGAAGTATATATAAAGTAAATGATTATAAATAGTAAATAACTATGCACCTTAAAAAGTTATATATATTCTAAAGATATATATGATAGATAGTTATATGTAGTAAATCATTATGCATTGGTTTCAAAATGTACTTTTTGTATTCTCTGTTTCTTCTACCGGAAGTTACTCAATATTCTTCTTTACATTTTCTCTCTCCTGTTATTTGTGTTCATCTAGATCGAATGTGTGTTCTTGTGCGATCCTAACATCAACATAGTTTAATTTTCTTTTGGTTAGGTCATGAGTCGAAAGTGATGCACGAATTGCATGTTCTCTCTTTTGTTCTTTGTATTCATCTAGATTGAGTGTGTGCGTTGTTGTGCGATCCTAACATCAAGAACATAGTTTAATTTTCTTTTGGTTAGGTCACGAGCCGAATGTGATGCGAGAATTGGATTTGTTGCCTTTGGAAGTGGAGAAAATAGAGCAAATCGATTATGGAACCTTTGTGTCAATTGATTCACACGACTTTAGACGTGTTCTTCTTGAATTAAATGCTTATTCCGGTGATATATAACTTCATTGTTCTTCGTTTAAATCTAATACTTTCACTTGAAAAGAACATGTTTCCTTAAACTTTGTTGTCGTTTCTTATAGTTCATGTTTCTGTAACGGATTCACAAGTCAAGTTCAGTACTTCAAGTGACGAGATTGTTTTTACTAAAGAGGTATGTATGATGTCTTTTGATGTCTACGATGTTTATTGATTCTTGTCGGCATGTTTTAGAATTTGGTTGATGTTGTGCAGGAAAGACGGTCAATAATTGGAGGTCTTAGGGAAGGAGAGGAAGTTAAATTTTTAATCACTCTCTATCCGTTGGTGTTTTTTCATGATTTGAGCTACGAAGCAAAACGGGCGTGGTTCTTCATGTCAAATAATTTCTCCAGTGTTATTATTCATTTCTTTGGCATTTCTTTTCAGTTTTGGGTCTATTTTCCTTAGTGGCATGGAAAAATCTTGTTTGCAAAGGGACTTCTTATATCATAAATCATCAATCCATTTGATCCGCTATCCACTCTGAATTAAAATTGTGATGCTCGAGTAAAAGAGAAGAATATTAACGAATCGAGGGTCATTCAAAATGAATCGAGACCGAATATATTATGATCTACAATCAAAATATATCGAAACAAATGAGTAGAAAAAACAACTAAAAAGAATGATCTAAGTTATAATTACTACTAATTATTCTAAGTTAATAACTTCTTTTGCTAGGAAGCTTATTGACTCACTTTCTCTTCTATAAACTTGATTTTACTCGAGATTCTCACGTTGAGCAAATCTCACATGTATGCAAACTCAACTTTTGATAAGGTTAGGGGGAAAATGTTTGGAGGTTGCTTTTCTAGTGTCAACTTCTTTAGAAAAATTTAATTCATTATGAGTAGAAAATTCATCATCGGGCTTACGTGTAGAAATTTCTTTTAACGTACTCTATTTTTCAATCTTCTTTTTAGGTATGTCGTCTAGGTTTCTTTGGTTGAAATGACACTTTTGATGAAACACACCGACTTGTAGGTTGCTTTTTGCTAATTGAAATAGCCTCTAGTTTCTTCTTGGCTCTGTTCTTTAATTCCTTTTTCTCTTGGCCTTTTGGTTTCTTCTTCCCTTTCTTGCCATCAAAGCCAATGCATACTTTTTCAAGATATTGATGGTCTTTCATTAGTATCTTATACAGACGATTTCACGGTCTTTTTATCTTCATCAATAGGGTTTCGTTTTTTGTCAAATATCTTGAGGAACGAGTCGACTAACTCCATTATGTTACCTTTTTCTGTCATTTGATCAAGGCTAATAATATTGATCTTCAGACTCGAGATGTAATATATCTTGGTCAATAGACGTTGATCACCATTCTTACACTAGAACAAGATGAATTTTTTTTTTACCTTTAATCAATACAATTGATCTGTCGCAAATCTTCACGTTTTTAATGAACTTCTCATCAAACTCCTTGAACTTTACTCGAACTCCGGTTATGTGGTTGCCCGCTCCATTGTCTAGGTACAACATGTTAGTCTCCATTTGGCCTTCTCCATTTGCGAGGAGATTCGCCATAACCATCTCTTCATTAAGCATCAACAGGTGTGGTATTTTCTCAGTCAACCAAGCTCTTCATCATCTGTAAATGTGAGGTTTGTCTCGTCATCGCACTCCTTGTTGTGACACTACCGCATTGTTAAGAATGAGAAATAGAAATAGAGTTGGGATCGAAAGTATGTTATCATTGATATTCATAAGCTTTAAATAGGATAGAAGCTAGCAACTCATACTTACCAGTAAGAAAAATATAAACTAATTAAATATTGGGAATAAAATAAAATATACTATAAATCAAATAGGAAAGAATATTAAGATATAATATTTGAGATATATTTCACAAATAATATATTCTCAAAATATTATATCTCAACACTCCCCTCAAGTTGGAGAATGTCGGTCAATCAGATCCAACTTGTCTTTAGAGTGTAGGTCAATAACACCCAAGTTGTCTTTAGAAGTGTAGGTCAATAACACTTTTGTCTTCCCGGTAGTGAAAATATCTGTCAAGTTAACTCTAAACAGTATTTGTTGATATATGGACACATTGGTTTGCCTTTTAAACTTTTAAAAAATTATTGAATTTTCAAGAAAGATGCAAAATAAAAAAAAAAATAGACAGCTTTTGATGGGTTTGCATTTTTAGTCTTTCAAGAAATTATTGAATTTACCAGAAATATGCAAAACAAAAAAATAGACCCTTTGATTGGTTTACATTTTTATCTTCTCAAGAAATTATTGAATTTCCTAAAAAGATGCAAAACTCAACATAGACAATCTTTGATTGGTTTGCATTTTTAAACTTCTCAAGAAATTATTGAATTTACCAAAAAGATGCAAAACTCAAAAATAGACAATATATCTTGAGAACTTGAAGAGCTGCTTCTGGATTTATGCATAAATGATTGAGAATGAGAAATTTGAAAATACTTATCACGATCAAACTTAT